CCTACGCGAACGCGTCCTGCAAAGCGTGATCTTAGATAATTATTTTTTTTAACAATGTGTGTTATCATTTTGCAAGTTAAAAAATAAAATATTTTTGATACAATACAAATATTTTTTCCCATAAAAACACCTATTTTTGACACTTGGAAATACTCTCTTTTCAGTAGTTCAAAAGAAATATATTCTTCGAACGTTCACTAAAATCATATTTTTTTTCTCTTAAAACTATCTCTCAATTTCATCACTCTACTGTTGCAGATTAAAATAATAAAAAAAACATAGAAATTACGAATTTTTTAAGTAAAACTACCATTGGCGAGACCACTGTCCAAATTCGAATTTTTTTCGGTAACTTAAAATTTGTTTTTCTATGAATGCATGGTCAAATATTAAAGTAGAAGAGTTGCACTTTATTCTAGAATTGTTCCAACCTCTTTCCTTTCACAGTTTTTCAGATATGAAATTTAGAAAATCGCATAGGTTCAATATGACCCTGTTTGCGGTGAGAGCGACTTTTCAGAAGTGTGCGGCCGAAAGGTTAAGGACAAACTAATTTCCATTCTACTTTCTGTGACTTCAAGTCCTCTCCCTTTCCCCTTCCGGCTGGTAGGAATAAATATCAAAAGACTAAGCGCTTGTGACTATGACGAAAGCGAAACGGGAAGTTTTTATCGGCCAGGCGCGTTACTTGTCGACATTTAGCGAGTAGGTTTTACGCATTGAAACTTTGTAGACATGCAGTAGACACGCCTCGCGTGAAGGAAAAAATTTTCATTCGTCATGAACCATGACGCTTGGTAAGGAAACAAAGGGTGAATCGCTATCGAAAGGCCGTCCGACATGGACATGCATTGCAGTGCGATATGATGAAAGCGACGTGTAACGCGTTTCTCCGATTGGCACATTAATTGCTACGATTTTTACCTTACGGCTTTATGCGTTCGAGATGATTGATACGTTCCTTCGTGCTTCTTTCACGCGTCGCGCGTGTCGAGAAGCGCTTACTATGGATATTACTTTTTTATATATTAATCGGAGGATGATTACACGACGACGTCGTCGGGATATCCGCGCAAACACGGAAAGTAAGCCTGATTGGCAGCACGGTGGCCAATAGTGCGAAGCAACGCGCGGCGCGATCACGGGCCTGTCTCAAAGAGGTTAATTAACACTTCAGCTTCTTCGATTATTTAAGTGAGTCAGACCACGTTTATGTAAATGGGCGGAAGGTGAGGAGCCAGTTCTCGATAGCGGTCGGTGTCGAGCACGAGCGCTTCCGGCAGTGCGCGGATAATCCCGCGAACATTCAGAACGCGCGCCGATTGCGCAACGGTTACCGCTGCCAAGCTAATGACACCAATTACGCGCGACTGAATGCTATCGCCCGGGCAAATCGTGCCCCGGCTCGGCTAAAAACAAATCCGCAGAAAAACGTCTCGGGCCGTATTAACGACAGCCGTGTGTCCGCCGTTTGTTCATTTGATCGGCCCATTGCTCCGGATTTCACATCTCGCGCGTATGTAAACCGCAGAAACGGACTCCCGGGGAAACCACGTGCGTGCGCGCACGTACGTGCGCGCGCGTCCGTAAGTGCGCGCGAATGGCCTGTGTGGAAAATACTTTCTTCTCGCGCGGAAAACCGTGTTAGCGCGCGGTTTCTCTCTCCGGCGGACGAACACGTAGCGCCCGTAAAATTTGCGCGGCCCAAGTCGATAATTAAGGGCGAAGCGGTCTATCTACCGCTCGCGAACTTATTTCCCAACGCTTCATTAGCGCGCCGTATATCGAGTAGTCATAATTTTGTAATTAGCGATCAGATTTAGATTTATGAGGAGCACCTTTCCGCTCCTTGCGACGAGAGTTTTCAGTTTTCTCTGTCTTAGTAATTAGACATATTTTTGTACTTCTAATTATACACTTACATAAATATGCCTTCCGTGCAATCTTTGTTGAGAAAGTTAAAATAGAGCAAAGTATATTTGCACTCTGGAATAAAATTCCTTGAATTTAAATGGTATAAAAACAATAACATAGCTCTTGCCAATATTTTAATCTCTCTAAAATAGGAAAGAAAGAAAAATAAAATAGCATTTTTTGCGGTAAGCTTACACAGACAAAAAATCTGGTTGCATTAACCAGAAAGAAAACAACCAAATTCTAAGTCTTACTCTTAATTCAATCAAATTTTACAGTCGATTCAAATTTCTATCCCAAATGACTCACGAATCACACGAAGGATCAAGCACTTAACTTACGACGGTGAGAGAATAGAAAATTTATTGAGCGCGTCTGTTTCATGCAACTCGTGGGAAATGCTTTGCTTCTGAGCAGATAACCATATCAAGATTTCCCCGTAATCTCTGAAAACGTGCACGCAAACGATTAAACTTTACAAAGTGACGCGCAATGTCATGTTCGCGGCGGCCTAAATCGATTCAGTTACGTCGGTAGATTCGCATTTACACTCGCGCCTCTCTGCGATGTATATGCGGCTTGGACGCATCTATAATGGTTAAACACTTTTCCGAGAAAATCGCAAGGAACATTTCTTCTTTAGGAAACTCGTGTCGCTCCGTGGAATCCTTCGTACCCACGATATATGTGGGTCAATGCATAAAAAATGCGGGACGCTCCATGGTATATGGCGCTTCTTCTGACTGCCCGCGCAAACCAGATAAATATCCGCGGGCCGACCGCGACGCGCGACGTGATCGGAAAAATAAAAAAAAGGAAAAAGATAGATACTAAACAGAGGAATTCGCGATGAATTTGAACGAAAGCAAGAACAATTCGAATGCTCGAGGCGCGAAGAAGAAGGCAAAAGAGGCAAGCGCCGACACATCGGTTTGACCTTTCCCTTTTTGCGGACGGCGAGAGTGCTCTCACTCAAGCGTATTATCGCGCGAGTGTGCATAAGGGACGGCACTTCTCCGGCGAGATACAAAGGAGCGCATTTCACTTATTCACCGTGCGCTGCTTCCTTAGCACTTTCATACAGTACACGGTCGACGACTGCCGGCGTGTTGCGTAGAAAGAGAGGGCCGAGGGAGACATTGCTGTCGTTTCTCTCTACTTCGCACACGCTTCAAAGATCGACAATGCTGAGGCGGGCTCATGCGTCGTGTCTATCATCGTATCGCATCTGCGGCATTAGTAAAAATCCCGATGAAAGCGATAACGTTTTCACGCCCCGAGAACGGAACAACCATCGGGGCTTCTACGAGTGTTTCTCGCCGGACATCATGCATCGTACACACCTTTCTCGCGACACCGATATTAATATCCTGCTGCGAAAATAACGTTAACGTTCGCGTTTATCGCGAGATAAAGCAAGCTACCACGGCCGTAACGAAGCGAGGCCGGCAGGCGAATTTTCTCGGATAACTCGAGACACAAAGTCTTCGATTCCTCGATTCTGAATTCACGCGCGGAATTCTACCGCGTGGAGAAATGCGGTATAAATCGGCGCGTGACGGAGAAATGCGGAATCCACCGCAAAATCCGCTTTGATCTATGCAGGCGTCTGAGTTCTGTACTCTCGTGCACGAAGCGTTGCTCAGCGCCGAGAGAGCGTGCTCTCTTTTTACTCTCTCGACACTTTCGACAGGCGTCGTGTATAATGATTAAGCGGACGAAAAAAAAGAAACAGAAAAAAAACAGCACCGTGATATTTTTTGGGCAGGTGACGCACTGATGCGTGACTACCGCTCGATTGTAGATTAATCACGAGGGGAGATCGCAAAAGGCGATTTTTTTTCCGCACGACGATTAGCCGGTAAAACCTTGGTGAGGACGCAAAAACTCGACCTAAATCTACTTCGGCTGATATTTTGGTTGATATTTCGAAGAAGGATATTAGTTAGATAGGAATTTTAATAGGCCGTCGAAAGCGTAGTTGCTTATATTATTATCGCGGGTCTACTAAACGCGGATGGTGCTAACGGGATTTTTGCGCTGCGATCAGCAACGAGCGAAATAAGGCTAAATTCAAACGAGAAAATGACGCACGTCGGAAGCATCGTGGAACGAAGAAGAAACCTTAACGCGAAGACAAAATAATGTCAGAATTAAACAAATCGTTAAGAAAACTAAAAAAACAGACCAGATTAATTATCTGATGATAAAGTTGGGATCAGATCCGATCCCATGCTTTGATTTGTTCATTTTTCATCTAATTAATATATAAAGTGGGTAAAAGAAGTAAATAATAACAAATTTCTTTTTCTATATATTAATAGATGAAAAAAAAAATACGATCAAATTTACTAACCGATTTTAAATAACTGCAGTAAAATACTTTGAAAAACGTTTTGACGTTTTGAAAATCTACCTCGCCATTAGAAGATTAATAAGAACGAACTTCGTTAAAATATTTTTGTACATTTCATCTCTCCACAATCTGTCGATTTTATCATAACCGATTCGCTCTTAACCGCTCGCGTGGAATACGAATCGCTTCGGGATGTTTATAAGAGCGAACGTGTGCAGAGCTCAACGGCGATAAGTTGTATTATTAAGTGCTTCGTGAAATGAAGGTTCGCATAAGCACACCGATATCTTTCCAGGAAATCACACGGCCGAAATGTGCGAGATATTTGTTCCTATTTATACGCTCGCCACTGTACACGAGGATGAAAGTCGAGAAATGAGCGTACGCGTCCGCGTTGTCTCAGACGCTCGCACGTCTGATCGGCGGCGGCCCGTTGAAATATATAGAGTGTGCTTACGTAAATGAGCTTTACCGACAGCACGAGCGGCATAATTAACGAGAACAAAATCCAAGATGCTTATGACCATATCGATATGTCGCATCATTAAGATCGACATTAGTCGTACGTGACTTCCGTATCGCGAGATAGCTGATTACGCGACCGACAGTCTTTAGGAATTAATTGGGAATCGGTTGACGTATCCCGACTCTGTTAATTACAATGTAGCATATTCCCGTAGACTGACGTTTTTTTAGTATTTTTTAAGGGCCCGCTTAATGACGCAAATTGTGCGAGGATAAAGCAATCGATTATATCCCGAGAGGTGAATGATTTAGGTGCGCCGAGCGCACATCAGACGCATAAATAGACGATTGCATGTGCGTAATTACGAGTCATCTTTCATGACATATTCAATTATAGTAATTATGTTTATGAGCAAATCGTGACTGAAACGATTATGTTATAGCGCAGGATCCTAACTAGATTATTCTACAAGCGCGCACGCTGTTAATCGTGCGTTGTTAATTCCTGAGGCCTTTTCGCGTAACTTCGAACTGTCGGAGTACAGAAACTCTGACTGACTGATGACATTTTTTACTAGGAAATCAATGCGATTTTTGCATGCACTACATTATGAGACGGCTTTGTGAGCCTTCAATTTGAACATTCACCATTTCGCGATGATATACTGCGACATCCAGTGGTCCAGGTCCTCGGATTACCGGATCTTGATTATGTCGCTCTGTATCCGTCCAGTACTCAGCCCAGTATCGAAGTGCTTTGTCGTCCCACGTCGATCATTCTTCACTCATTATTCTACACTGTACTCGCGATTGCGAATAATTATAACGTAAAACGACTGTGTATGTTTAACGATTTAACGGGAAGTACGCGATAAGTTTTAATGCTTTGAAAGTATGCTTGCAAGTCGCGAATCGTATGATAAATTCGCGATTACGAATTTTAATGATAATAATCGATACGATTAACGACATGGAAAGAAAGTATAAATATTAAAGTATTAATCTGTAACCGTCGTAACTTAACTATTTTCACTCAACCATGCCCAAGTCTTTGGTCGCAAAGAGTTGAAAAGTTGTAAGAATACATAAACTCAGCATATTTACCTTCGAGCCGATCCTACTAGGCCCGAACCGGATCCTCCGGTACGATAATTGTATTCATCGAAACTATACCAAGGAACCGCATCTATCATGACTGCTAGTTCTAATAAATCTGAAACAAAAATTAAATTTTCTAATGAGTTGCACACATTAATAAGATTGCATATCGAAGAATATAAAGAATCGAAATCATATATATATTGCTCTTTTAACTTAATAAAAATGAAAAGCAGCAATCACCCTTAAGACTTCAGAACGTTGCCTATACTCAAGATGATACTCAAGATGATACTATCACAATAACCATGCATGTGAAGTAATGCAATCTCACGCATGTTCAGATTTAGAAAAATCGGGAATCACGCGCGATGTCTCCTGAAGTATTTACTCTCGCGTCGAGAACTATTATGACCGCTCATCCGAGTACCTGTATATGTTATTATTCTCAAAGTCACGTGACTTTCAGCAGGCAAAACGTGCTTAAAGGCACCGTTACATTATATATTTATTTATTTAATGTTTTCTGTGTCATTTTATTAACATTATACATGACAATAATAATAGTTTTGTATCACTTGACATTTTAACTATCAAAATGCAAATGCCAAATTATCGATATAAACTAGTTCTCTTTATATATAAAACGATTTTCCTCCGAATTTAATCTTCACATATTTCCGAATTTTCAACTAACTTTTTTATAGAACATCAAATCGAAGATCTACGTTTGTTATTTTGTCATCATATAAATTATACGAATGTAGCTGAACGATATTTTGTAAACTTCAAATTGTGAGACATTGTATTATCACATAACTAATTAACCATCGGTGTGTTGCACGGGCAGTGAATGAAAGTTACCTGTAACTTAAAGAATAAAATACGAGCGTTAATTCTGACATACGAGTCAGGAAAGACTTTCCCTCGGTGTACGGATGAAAGTGATGCGCACGAAAATGTTAACTGCATTTTCGCTGAAATGTCGAGTCGTTTAACTTTCGATAATGTTACAAATAATTAGTACGCTTGACCGATCGCTAATATTCAGGAGATTCATTGCCGTTAATGATAGTTGTAAGCATTAATTACGGTAAAACTCTTTGAAGTTACATGCCGTTACGCCGTTTAATGTTGCACTAGTGCGTGTTGAACATTGACGATATTACAAAATTTTGTTGAAATTACTAACGGCATAAAAAATACACTTAATTAATATATTTTTTCTAACAAATTAAATAATATTCAATAATTGTTTCAACCAATTGCTCTTTCATCTTTTATCTTTTTTCGAAAATAGTAATATGTAAGGCGCGAAGAATTACGAAGTAAATCAATTATTTTAATTACTTTTCTTTTTGTTCTAGTCACACTGCGATACCCGACGCCTGCGTATTCTGACAATTTTAATTGCGCGTTTTAAACGACTTAATGTGGAGAATGAGACACACTCGGTGTTTCGCATGACAGGTTTTGTTTCTCCTGGCCCGGTTTCTGCGAGTTGCGAACCTTTTCTTTTTCGGTGAATTGAATGCTCATGGGAAATTAAAGAGACCATCGCGTTCGACAAACTCGATACTGAAGTTGACGAGATTCGTCAGTTCATTAATTCTCCGCATGTTCGCGAGAAAAGAACGAGGGGTTTGTGCACGAACCTTTTCGTGGATAATGAAGCGATACATACGAACTACGGCGAACGATAAATTTCCCGGTGTATCGCAAAGTTATTTGTTAACTCGCGATCGTTTGCGTCACACGACATGTGATGTCTTAAATTGAAATAAATACAAGGTACTGAACTGAAATTTATGGCTTAACATTTTTATCGAGTCCGAAACTGATGTAGTCGCCAATTGAGATTTCATTAGAGATTATTATTTATTACGAATTTGTACAGACGGATGTCTATACGTGGACGGGTGGATGACATAGGTAGATGTCATAAATGAATGTCCCTTGATATTTTCGAAAAAGACAAAGTCACATTACGGCCAATCGCTTGTCAACTAATGATGAAAAAATTCGATGGCCGAGAAATCACGTCCATTAAGCGGATGTTAGAGCAGACAGCCGAATTTCGACGGAAAAAAGTTCTCATCTAATCGGAACTAAAAATGTCGATAAATTCTTGACGCGCGTTACGACTTTTCTCACGATTAATGGTGACTAAAGTAACATAAGACAATTGCATTTTTATATTCTCCTGTTGTGCTCCAGCCTGTGTAAATCCTAACTTTATTATATATGAATGAGGGAGAGAGAGAGAGAGAGAGAGAGTATGTGTGTGTTAACGTAGAATCAAAATTTCGACTCGAAAAGTTAAATATAAACGCGCGAACTATCGATTGCGTCTAAATATATACACGTTATGTATACATTCATGGAGTTACATAAATATATCGGCAAGTATAGAGGATATTAGTATTCTAACATACTATTAACGGTACCTCGAGTACGAGAGAAGAAAGGGCAGAATTGCTTGCAGCTCGTTAATGAACTTAACGAGCGGCTTACGTTCCGCCTTTTACGATAATAATCGCGACTCATTGAGGGCGTAATCCGACGATTCGCTTTCGGCAAATTTAATCGCGTTCTCTGAAATAAAATGGACATTAATTACTTCAAAATCTTCGGCTCGTTTCTACGTTTATCAACGACAATTCTAGATAATTAAAGATCCGCAAGACCAACTTTCTTTCAAAGATACTATCGGGTAATTATGTATAAGAGAAAGTATTTTGAAAAAAATTCAATGTATGTGTGGTATGTGAATAAGATAATTTTGATCATTAAAATTAACGTATTGAAAAAAAGTCCGTTTGCCATGTGTTCTTTAATTATAAAAATTTGTTCTATTTTTTTTTCTCTTCTAGTTTTTATTATAAATAATAAAAATTTTCGTTACAGAAAATTAACTCTGCTGAATGCCAGATGAGATTCACTGAGACTATAGAAATGTTTCGAGTTAACCAATCATACATAGAAAAAGAATTAGCTCTCACAGCTAAAAACTAATTCTCACAGTTAAAAACTAGATCTGGTAACTAAATTTCAGTTGTATTATATAGACAGCTAATTTCCCCGTGCACGATTATCAACTAATTGACATCATGGAAAAGTACAATGTACACCATGTTTTCTTTTTTTAATTGACATCGCCTAGTTTCCGTCTATGTAAATATAATTAATCGTCAATGTCACATAATGGACGCTATTGTTACGATCGTGGAATAATTCGCGGATTACGAAAACCACAAGGGATCACTGTCAAGTGGGTGTGGGGAGCATTTTCGAAGGAGCGATTAAGTGATTGCCCGGCGTGGAGAACCGTCAATCAGCGATTGTACGCGCTCCCACGTGTTCGAGAATAATTAATTACGATTTTCACCCGTTGCGTCCGTATATAGTAGCCTCAGTTCCGTACGTCATCTACAGCGTTTGCGTGGTATGCTTTGCCGATGCATGTTGGCAATGCATTCTCAGGACCGTTCTGACAGCCTTTACAAAAGAATCCTTCGCAATCGTGAAACAACCATTAAATATTATTAAATAATTGCTTCGATACACATATACAAACATTTATTTAAAAGCTTGTAATGGTGTTATATTTTCATTTGCTCTCGAGAAAAAGAGTAATATTAATTTATAGAAATATTAACAAAATAGGAATAATTTTTTAATAGACACTGTGAGTGGCACAGCTAACAATAATACATTTTACACAACTGTACGCGACATTGCACCTTTGAAATATAAAATGTCTACGTTCGAGGAAGGTTTCGAAATGCCCTGGGCGTATTCCGGTCGCTGCAAAATCCCTGAAGGGAGGCTTACTTGTGCCTCTGTATCGGTATGCAAACGCGGCTGATCGCCGTATAATTGGCGTTCGGATCTTTATGGTGAGCGCGAGCGACACAATATCGGGCTCCCGACGGAGACGTACGAGTCAGCAGATAAAATCTCGAACACGTACATAAGGGTCTGCCATCGGGAACGCGGCCCATGTCCTCGTCGTCGTCTTCGACGTCGTCTCGCCTGCATTCCGCGAGGCGCTGCGGCGTAATGCACCGCGAAAGCCGCGTCACCCTATATCACACGCCGCACACATTCACCGGTCCTCCGCGTTCTCGCTCGGCGTTATCGTGGGAAGGTCAAGCTTCCTTCCACGTGGAATTCTAACGTACAGAAATAACGGCGCGAAATTATTTCGTGTGAGAAAGATAATGCAGGCGAGACCGAGAGAGATGAAAACTGTTTCGTCGAAATGCCTTCAGCAGCTGCTCGTCGTGAAGTGATATATCGCAAAATTATGGTATTAAACATTCAATTAGGAAATTGGATAAAATTATACCATGTACACACGGTAGAAATGTATGCAGTTTTCCTAAACTCCCATGTAGTTATTATCTAGTATCAATGCATTCACATTAGTTGTAACAATATTGCGTAGGAAATAGACAAGAACTTGATAGTGTTTTATTTAGGATTACTTCTAGGGCAAAACTGTCCATTTTATGAACAGCGTGTTCGAATTCGCGAACGGAGGGGTCGCGATTTGCTCTTCGAACTGCAGGATTACGTATTATTTACCCGTCTATTTTTATAACCTTTATATATAACGTGTAAAGTTACGTCTTCCGTGCTATTAAGCGTGCGCGTGTCGATGCGTAGCCAAGCGGAGTTAAGCTCGCGGCAAACAGAGAGCGGGGACAGCACGTGTTCGCGGCGCAAACGACCCGCATATATATAGCGAATAAGCGCAGCATCTCTTCGTTTTCTCCGCTTGCCTGCCACCGTGATGTAAGCGCGTACACGCGGCAATACCTCCGCGCGTAACACGCAAGTCCTTACAAGGTAGCGTGCATTCCGCGATGGTAGACACCGGCGGTAACAAAGTGCCGCGTCGTGATTCGAAATCGTTTCCCTCCTCGAGGAGGTTTTAGTTACAATAAAAAAAAGGAAAAAAAAAAGGAAAGAGGAAAGAATGAGAAGGGAGAGAACGAATGGGTCAGATCACGACAGGGAATGCAACGAAGGTAACGTCGAGGGAACGAGGTTGTAAAGGTGTAAAGTATGGGAAGAAAGATATATGACTTCATTCGAGCCTCGGATATG